ACGGGAGAAGCACGAATGCAGTTAATTGATGCACCGGCGCATAATGGCCGCCGTTAAATGATCGACGAGGTGCATCGCAGTCGCGCGCGTTAATGACGAAGAGATTTTCAGTCAAATTAGGCGCCTTTGTGCGCCCTTTCTTTCGCCTTACGTTACATTCAGGCGCGCGGTGTTTACGACGTGACATTGAATTATTAATTGAGTCGCGGCGGGGTTAATGATAAATGCGACGATAATCGCGGTACACGGATCTTGCGGAAAATACGTAGACGAAGTTAATAAAATAGCAGCCCCTTTTGTACAGAAAATGAGACATGATATATTGCATCAGTTATATAATTTATATAGTTATAATTATTTTCAAATTAATTATAATTATTTTTAATTAATTATAATTATCTTTAAATTAATTCTACTATATGTGTCGTTTTCTCGCTGATGAAACTCGAGATGTAATAGAGAAATGCAAATGTGTGTGAGTGTGGGAAAAAATCGCTATTTTATCGCGGCGAAATTATGAGAGTCCGGATTAATCATTTGTGCATAAATGATACAAAAGAGACGCCAGCATCGGGACGTTAATTATGCATCGCCGACCGCTCGGGGATTTGCCGCGCTTCATTTGCACGGCCCGCATTAAACGGGGACAAACAATTACGCCGAGATACGTCATATTAGCTGCGATTATATCGCCTACGCGGCACGAAACTAATTTCGACAAATGAGCCAATAATGGATATTTCGTTTTTATTTCCGCGGCATATATTGCCTGGATAATAACGATTTTGTATTTTACAACACTTCGAATTTCTCATACGAACATTTTTGAGGAATAATTAATTATTAGACTACGAAATGAAAGACTTGTTACAGGATAGCTTGATTTATAATTGTAAATTATAATTACAATGGCTGCGATAGAATTTCTTCTTCGCTGACGAACAGTGAAAAAGAAATGCGCGGGAAAAAAGAACGATGACATATGTGCGCGCATGCATCGTCGAAATTGGCAGGAAATGCAAAATATGTCGGCGAAAGTTTTTTTTTTTTTTTCGTTATGTATATGATAATGAAGAAACGCGCCGCGCGTAATTGCGGCAAAAGAGGCAAAGTTAATGCACGGTTTGATTCGTGCATTTACGGTCCACGGGAATCGCATTATTGTTTCTCGTTGTTGCACGTTTCTCGCGCGGGAGAAATTTCTCTCCCTCTCGAGAAAAAGAGACATTTGCTCTTGTTTTAACGCGCGAATTTTATCTCTGCAAAGCAGATGTACGTGATTATGTACGATGATAATTGTTGGCAAATGCCGTCATTAACGCGTCGCTGTTACATCCTTTCACGTTGCAGTCGCGAATTAGAAAATGGTCTTTTCATACAGTCTCTTGAATTTCAATATTATCTTGTTTTTTTTTATAATCACTCCGACAAATCTGTCACAAATCTGTCACGTTGAGTAATGCGCTTGCTCGCTACGCGTATCGGATTTTTTTCCAAGACATTCGCGGAGACATTTTTACGATAGGAATCGGTGACTGTAATCTCACGTGGCACATTTTACGCTCCTTGGACCGGGCCGGCCTTAACGAAGTTCTTACCGCTTATGCATTTTCATGCGCGATCGCATTGCCAGATCGTTGATTTGTCAATCGCGACTTGAAATCGCGACATCGCGCAAAACCGTTTCGTTTCCCGCGTGTAGGACGTTTCTTGCATCGTAGGTGTTCACCTAATGACGGTAATCGTCCAGATTCGTATCTGGTTCATTTTCTAAATACGCGATGCAATATCACAGAAGAGTCAAATCGCAGATATAAATTTAAAAAATTGCAATAAAAAAGTTGATTATTTTGATCGAACAGTTTCATCAGTTGATCAGACGATCCGGAGGGCAGACTTTATAATTCTCGAAAGAAATCTTTCGAGAATAATAATAATAATTTTAATAATTAATTATTATCATATATCGCGAATATTTTGAGTGAAATATTTGACGAAGCTTTTCTCCTTGCGAAATTTAATTTCTCGAAACGCGATTATCTAACGTCTATATTAATTCCGAGAAGTTTCGCGGAATCCGTCGAGAATTTTTTGTAATTTTCGGTGAAAATGTAAAGGAAAGGAGAACAAGAAATTCCTGCTTACACCGTGACGACACACCGGGTCGGGTCTGAGAGAGGGAGGAGGGATCTCTTCGTTATTATTTCAGCGAAACGAAGCGTATACGCCGTACACGCTCGAGTTGGCTCGTGTGCGAGTTGTTAACTTCTTCATGCCGGCCATGTCCAATTTGTTGCATGCAGCGTCTTTCATTCGCTTTTCACAGTAAATATCATTGCAACAAGAGGATGAGCGCACGATACGATGTCGTTACGTAAATTTCCACGCGATATACATATATATGCATACACGCTTTCGGAAAACGATCATCATCGTAGTTTTTTTTCACATGCATTAATGAGAAGACATTAGTGATTTTATATAAAAATATCGAATATTTTATACACCTATTTTGTCGACGATGTTTATGTACGTATATAACATGGGCGATTGTCATTTACGCAAAAATAATTAGCAATTTTCAAATAATGATATACATAGATATACAATGTATAAAACAAGATACGCTTTTTTTAAATTCTATATATTCAAAGAGGTATTTTAATATATATTAAAAATTAGAAAATAATATAGATATATATTGAAAATATTGAAAGATTAAAATAATATTTATTATATAAATAATCGATATGTTTAATGAAAAATTTCTCTTTCTCCTCTGAGAAAAAAAATGGAATATAAATTTAATCTCAACTTAAATTAAAAGACTTCGATCGGTGTCCTTAATGGGAATTGCAGGACAGGACAGTGGATGCACTACGTTACGGAGTAACGTTATCCCTGAGATACCTGGCTGGTTCTATCGTCACGATGCGTGACGGAGACGCCGGTGTATGTCCATTCTATAAAGACCCGCACGGGCAAGTCGTTATTTGTTGTTCGAGTCGATTCGAAAACTTCAACTGTGCGCGGCGGATTTCTCTTTATCGTAAGAAAATCGGCGTTCATAACTGAAATAATATTCGTTCTGACGTAACGTCAAAGAATTCGATTAGAAAGATTGCTACAATTTATTTCCTTGCGAAAATCAAGTGAATTGAAGTCAATTCCATCCAAATTATATGTCTTTCTGAATTTCCGGTTTTTTTATTATACTTTATATTCAAAAAAGTTGTATATATATATAAATAATGATATAAATAATTTATATATATATATAATATTATATATTGATATATAATATTGATAAGATATATATAATTTATACATCAAGTTCATAAATATTTATATAAAGGTATAAGTAAATGTTTCATTAATTATATAGAATTTATCAAAATTAAGCTCGTTGCTTCAATCAGGGTCTCGTGAATCTGACACATTGTGGGATCGCTATTTATATTTCCGATCACCGATCGATCGGGTAGAAAAATGCGTGAGAAGCGGGACGAGCGTTGCGTATGCATTTTTTTCACATTACGGAGAGAGACGCGTATCTTCTTTTTTCTCTTCTCTCTTGTAGTATCGCGCGATAAATGTCTAAACTTGTTCTAACAATAAATCCGACGCCCGTGAAGGCGTGACTTTGAGATACACGGGAGACTTAAGTCGGCGGCGTGCAACTGCATCACGAATGCGACCCAATCGGATCGTGTCCGAAATGTCTCCTCTTTTCTTCTCTTTTTTTTATGAATGACCAGACCCTTTTGCTTTAGCAGAAACCGGTCCCACATCACAAATATATCATAGCAGATTCGTGTTCATCTTTGTTTTTGGAAAAAAAGCACGGCGAAAGATTATCTCTTGATACGATTTGTTTCAATATTCTTAATACTGATACTAATAATCCCTTCGAATCGATACGTGCAAGATTATTCCCTTCGTTATGCCGTTCATTTCTCAAGACTGATGTAAACTTTACTTCTTTTTATGGATGTTATCAGTCTGTTACGCAAATCGATATGGATATATACGTAACGCGGCAGTAAAAGCGTTACTCAAATTCTCTGATATAAAGATAAAAAAAAACACCTCTACATTGCATAAATTAATAATTTACTTGCATATTTTGGTTAATTAATTTAGAACATTTTGTTTTAAACTAATTAAACAATATCAATTACATTAAATACATCAACAATCGCAGAATATAGAATTGCTTATACGTTTATGTATATGAGCAATCTCTTTTTTTAGTCGAATTTTTGGCGACGCGTATTTTTCTACAATCGTCGCTGGATCTTTCGACATAAAATAACATAAATTGATAAAATACACATATATAATATATACAATATCACTAATAATAGAAAGAAATAAGAGGGAAGATAAGGGTACGGACGGATTATTCCGTTAGAATACTGTTATCGAACCTGTATGTACTCTAGGAAATTTTCTTCTAAAACTTGAATGTTCGAATTATTACGTAAAATAATAGTAGCTAAAATGTACGGCGCAGCGTTCCATAGAATAGACAGTCTAATATTCATGGAGTCTCTGAGCGGCTGGATGAATGGCTGTTCTATATTACAATGTACCGTTCATAAATTTCTCGACTTTCCGCACTTTATTTCACTGCGCGAAATTCCGAATTTCTAAATAAAACAAAAATATTTCATCAAATATTCTCCCCCTCCCTCTCTCTCTTTCTCGTTCTCCATTCTCTAAAATGGACACGCAAGCGTGCAGGTGAAATTTATTTCTGTCATAATGACAGAAATAAATTTATAAGGATTACGAAATTAGAGCGTGTTAGCTGAGGCAAGTGTCTTATATCGAGATAAAAATTATGTACATATAAGAAATAATTTTATAAAAAAAGAGTTAGCGACCTATTTTATTGACACTATAAGATCTGGAAAGATCGCTAACGTATCCATCGTTGATTGATAAAATTTCCTTACTTACTGACGCGCGGTAAAAAAGTTGTAGACTGTGCGTGATTTATTTTACATATATGTATATACGCAATCTCATTTAGGAATCTCTCCTCTAATTTTTATAACGGTAAAAAATTCTCTTCGTAGCACGAAAGTTATCTATATATCCGTATATATGTAGATACATTTCATTCTTTTTTCCTAAATGGAATTTTTATTATAGAAATATATTATATTGTACGTTAACGTGCATAAAATAAAGAGAGACGCGCACGCACGTGCGTGTCTGTGTATATAATTAGTCATATATGTACAAATTATCAGTTCGCAATATTAAAATGCTTAATAAACATTTCAAAGCGAGATATGCACGCGTATAGTCTCCAATACAAAAACACTTCACTAGCAAACGTCTGCAAAAACTCTTTTTCCGCATATATATCTCAAACATTTAAGAATTTAAAAAATTCTCGAATCTTATTTTGTCCGCGCACATATGATTCTCGCTCCGTCTAGATAAAAATAAGAATTGTCTTATGTTAAAAAAAAATAATACATAATAGCTGACAATGAATAAATCGGCATTAAAATAAAATAGGAAGTGGGCGAAGTTCTCTAAGCGTGCACGTGTCCAGCACGTTGCGCGATACAAAATTAACACAGCCGTCTCATAAACACGTATGATAGAATAGCCTCTACGGAAGGAAGACGTACACCAGCAGCGAGACTATATTCCCGATGGAATGTGCAGCTGCTTTTTAAATTTAGATCGTAGTCGATACAGATCGACCGCGATAAAGAAGCGTAGCTTTTATTAAGATCCTCCTTCTCGACTTGTTCGACATTTTCATCTCGCATTCCTATTCTTATGGGAACGTGGTGAAGTCCCGCTACTACTTTACGCCTATAGAGTCATATTTGTACTCGAACGTCGCGTAAGAAAATAAGCTGCCATTTGCTTGTTCGCTCGCGAATCACGCACGCAAGTGCGAGAGACTCGCGTCGTGTCGACTACATCTTCACGCAACGCAAGCTCTTGGACGGTATCCGCGCGCTGAACTGGAAGGAGTTCTCGCGGGGCGGTCGCTCGTTGGCTTCCGCACGACCGGCAGATTCCGCGTCCTCGTCGAGGTCGATGGCGAAGTCGCGATTACCCATCAACGTCGCCAGGCACATGTTCTCCTCCTTTATTCGCGAACGCACCAGCATCTCCAATGTAAAGAGGTGCTCGTCGTGCGCCTCCGGCAAGTAACGGTGCATGAAGTCCGCCAACCTGTCAGATGAACGCATCGTCTCGTTAATTGTAGATTAATAAAATATTATATAAAAAATTTATATAATACATAGACCAACGAATCGAGAGAACGAGATGAATATAGCTCTTCCTCTTTGAAATAATATATATTTTCAATATAATATACAAATATTTTTTGTTCTAAAAATGTGTATATATTAAATTATTATTATAATTATAATAATTATAATAATAAAATGTATTATATTATATAAAATAAAATATAAAAATTATTGCAGAAAATTAAGTATTTAATAAAATTATTAGATGATTATATAAAAATTTTATTATAATAGCTGAATAAGATTTGATTTCTTATAAAAAAAAAAAAAAAGAAATTTCGAGTGATTACGATCGATCGGAGTGACACTTGGTCCAGATAACAATCTTTCTTCGAAAATGGGATAAGGATAGAGAGAGAGTTCGTTGTACGGGCGTCCCTCACCGTAAGAGATACTCGACGTTGTGTCCACTCTGGCCGGAACACTCGGTGATTTGACGCGCTATGCTCGGCAACGATGCCTCGCCGAGCCACTGTTCATTCTTGTTGGTAGCGATGTAAATTATCACGGAGAACTGTTTGCCCTCGTCCCGACTGTGAAACGTCGTGATGGTCGTCAGATATCCTCCCAGAGCGCATTCGCGATTCTCCAAATAGGACAACGCTGCGCTATCCTGGACTTGAAACGCTCTTCCGTAAACTATTCCCTGTGGACGAAGAACAAAATATCTGCATTGCACGAGAAATTATCACACGTACTTTTCCCTAAAGAATTGTTTCGGGATCGTTAATTCTTCTGTCATCATTTTTCCCCGTTTTATGTATGGATATTCGGATATCCAACTGCATTAATATATTAATAAATATTAATATATCAATATTTATTAATATATTATTATTAATGTATATAATATATCCTATAAATATAATATATATAATATATTATTAATACTTCTTTATAACAGCTGCTACATCAAATATTTTTCTGACATACATTTAAATTAGTTAAAGTTGCTTCAGGTGTATGGGTGTCTGTTTGTTGACAGAAGAGTTAATGATGCATCACTAATTACTCTGATATAAATTGCCACAAACCTCTTTTTCCTCGATCAGGGTAGCGACTCGTCCAGGCTGTAACATAAAGAAGAAACATCATTATTGCACGCAGTTATTTGATAAATTAAATAAGAGATGAAATAGGAGTTTTGTGTGAAGAATCAAGTTTCGGAAATCTGAAAAACTTTTCGCAATGGAACGAAACAGTATACAAAATAATTATGTATCTTGAAAAGAGAAACATATTGCTGTATATAAAAATATCTCGTATGTTTACGTTATTATTACATTATTTATATGTATGTTTTTATTACGTAATACAAATTTCTGTAAGCAGAAATCGCGCTCTTGCGAAATGTCACTTTAAACAAAGAGTTATATATGATACAACATACGTACACATATAGAGCTAATCTTTCTCTTTGAAGATATCGGTTACTACTGGTTTCCAACTGGTTATATATGTATATAATTTCACGTAATTTATACTTTATACGTAAGCGTAACGCAAAACACAAACATTCGTTTCGTGGAAAGAGATTCCTTAAAAAAAAAAAGAAAAATATTTATACTTTTGATATTGTATCAGCAAGATTTCCTAGAAATCTTCGAGTTGACAGTTTGCATAAAAAAAACTTGTATCCAAATGAAAGCAATGACTTTCTGTTTTCGCTTCGCAGAACTACTAAAAATGCATCTTATCAAATCTCTATAAGAATTTTATTTATTATGTATCTCGATTAAATGCATATTTTTTCGAGAAAAAAAATATCCATGAATTACATTTTAAAGACACAGCTGTTATATAAAATATATCGTTATCAATGTATCTTAATTATTTCTAAACAATGTAATAGAATAATTTTGCGCGAAAAAGGAACATAACTTTAGAATATGTCAAAAGCGACATTTCGCATTCGAAAAATTAAAATACGTAAAATGGGAAGTTGATGAAAACAAAGAAAGAGGAAACAAGGAAGCAATTTTTCCCGTGCGTCATTTTAGAATAAAGAAAGAGAGAAAAAGCGTCATATATTTTTTTTTATATCGCGTTATACATTTTCGGTTGCCGGACTTGAGGCGTCCTTCGAATTTTTTGGTCTGCGCCGATGAGAAAACTCTTATCGTGGCGAGACACGCGTGTATATAAATGATTACAATGCCCACAAAAACGTATATCTTCGCGTACGCGCTTGGAATTAGGCCAAGCCAGGAAAAGAATAGCGTGGTGAGCGACAAAATTGGGATATTAATAGAATATTCGCACGAATAAAGATATCACGTGATTCGACACCAAAATCACACGTGCACATAAAGCGCATATACATATATATTTCAGAAAATATATGTAACATCGCGAATGCATCGCCATCGGCGATAACAGAGAGACTATTGAACATTTTTGAATAATTCAACGAGAGAAAAAGAGAGAATGCTTATTCGTGCGATTTAATTAAAAATCGATATTTAATAATGTAGCGAAATATCAAATTATCGAATTATCAGCGATAATGCCATGATATGACGTAATGATTAACAAGTCGACGATAAATCGAACATTCTTGCGAACAGGTAGAAAATAAAACTGTTGTAAAAACTTGTCAACCTTGGCTTTACGATTTGGTCAACCTTAGCCTTATTATCAGTTCCTGTTTGTTCTTTTCTTTAGCAAACAATCAATCTCATTCTGAAATTTTTCTGGATACAAAAAAAGACGTGCGTAATAATAAGCGCAGTCTTACATTATAGTTTCGTCGAGAAAAAATTCACAAATATAATTTTGCTTCTCTTCCGATACCAACAAAATTACTCTGCTTTTACATATTTCAATTTACAGCTTATTATACACATATGCACATGAAATTAATTAATATCCAATATTTTCATTAAAATTATAATAGAGCGAATTCCGGGAAAAAACGTGTTTTTATTTCTTTTTCAAATTGATTGCAGACAATTTTCAATTTTCGATTGCATGCATAATTAATTACATTAGTTTCGTATAAATAGTTACGAAATTCTATTATTTTACCCCGCATCGCAGGGTCGTTGCCATACGGATGTTTGCTTTACCCAAAATTCGCACAGCTGTTCTAATTTTTATCATCGTCTAAAGCGAAAATGTATGTTGAGAGTATAAGTAAACAAAAGAGATATTGATGACATGAGTATATTAGTACGTAGTAAGTCTTTTCTAATATCTTGAATATTTATTATTCCACTACAAGATTCTTCAAAATTCGATTTTATCGAATATATAACAATTATATTAATCGAAAAACGCAATTTTCACCAAAATTCCTAATCAAATCATCTCCAATAAATCTCATATATTTTATTTTTCGTCCAGCATAAAATTGCATTAATTATACACTAAAAAAAACTATTGAACTCAAATAAATATTTACTTAAATAGTTCCATTTACACATTTGTTTGAAATAAATATTTATCTGTTTTAAAAAAGGATTTCTTATATTAAATAAATATGTTTTCACAGCAAATCAATAATATTAGTTTAAAAAAAATGATATATAAAATAGTATTGAAATAAATATTTATTTGAATAATTAAATAATTTTTTTCCAGTGCAGTTATAGATATGAAATAAAGAGAGACGTTGGAGCTTGCTGAAAATTCAAAATCCAATTTTTCCCGGTTTCAATCGACTCGTTATCTCATTTAATTCGTCTGCTACTGGACCGCGTATATATAGGATCCTAGATAGATAGAGTCAATTCCATTCTATGCGTGTCCATTAGACACGGTCTATTAGACATCGGGTCAGTCATAAATGATGACGGACGCGATAATTGGCAATAATAAAAAGAAAAAGAGAGAAGAGACAATGAATAGAGAGAAAAATTGAAGGACGAGTCTCCTCACCTTCTCGATCGTCCCACGATGCGCCGTGTTGCCTTGCCAGAATCTCCTGCTGAAGCCTTTGACGTATCCAGTCATGCTTCTGATGTACGTGAAACCGGGGTGCCAGCAGAGCGATCCGTATCCGAACACCCACAGATTGTTATCGATGTCATCGTGTCCATTCTCCATTTTTCGCGCTCTCTCTCTTTCGTCTCTTTATTATTTCTTCCTCTCTCTCTTTCTCTTTCTCTCTCGTCTTCTATCTTCTCCCTCGCTTCGTCTCTCGTCGTCTAATAATTGCTCGAAATATCACACCGTATAATATTGTCGGATAATATCTTACAATTCAAAGTTCAGCATCCCGTGATGATATACTACTTCACCGACTATCGTTGAGAGTTTCAAGACTTCAAGCGCGTTTCTTATCGAAGATTACGAGAAAGTGCAAATTAACAACTTAAATTAGCGTCATAGAGTTTCAAGATTTTTTGCCCCGCCTTAAATCATCGTTCTCCTTTTTCGGAGTAAAAAATCTTAATTGGGTCGATCTTGCGTCTCCGCACGTGCATTGCGGAAGGAATTCCGTAGAAAAAAGAAAAAAGAAAGAGAAAGTGATCTATCCGCTCTAAAAAAAATCTATCTTAGTTGGAAGAAGTATCACCAATAGAGTTCTCCGTCTCTCTCTCTCTCTCGCTCTTGGATCCTTATCGATCAGCAGCAACCCACGTGGTCGACTCTCTCAGACTCGGCGTCGATTCTCGCTCATCTCGGATTGATGTTCCTCGTTCTCGTCAACTTATACTGATTTGCCGGTGACTTCAATTTGCCAATTCGCGAGATGGCTCGACGTGACGTCGACTTCTATAGCGATGACGCTCCCTTTCCTGGTCATCGCGGCTGCCGATAATGCTTCTGTTCCATGATGAATCCTCTGCAAGATCCTCGGATCTTCCAGGATCAATCGGTCGGCCGAAGGCGGGAGATCCGCTTCGAGGGAAAGAACGATCTCCCGGAAGCTTCCTTAGGGTCTCGAAGGAGCGAGCGGGATTTTCGAGACATTTGGAGAATTCCGGCAGAAGGACGATCACATGTCGAGATCCAGATGAGAACTGCCGGCTGTCGGCTGACGGTTCGGTTCAACTAGACCGGACCGCGCGCCAAAAGGAAAAAGAGAGCAAGAGAGAGGGATGGATGGAACCAGCGCGAAGAGACGAAGGAAAGTGGCAGAGTATGTACTCGCCAACGAAGGTGTCGCATGGTGGGGACGGATGATGAAACGCGTCGTCTGATTGACGCATGTACGTGCCGGATGTACGTGAGCGTACCGTTCATCGAATTAATTCAGAGAAAAAGACCGGTTATGCATTATCGGAGTATATCAAGGGAGAGAGAACTCATTTTCGCGTATATTTTTTTTAATACTTTCCATTGTTTTTAAATATAAAAGTTATATACGAAGCGCAAAAGAGAGGGAGAAGGCACGGGAAATGTAAAATTCCAAATGATTAATCAATTTTCTCCAAAATTGATAATTTATAAACGTGTAGTTGTGAAATACATGTTTTTTTTAGAACAAAATATTTCGGTCGATTTGTTTGGTGTGATTTAATGATGCAGTTTTATTTGTTATCTCACTCACACACACGTGATATTGTATATTTTTTAAAATTGTAAATATCCAAAACCACACATGTTAGATTTACAAAAAAAAACTAAGATAAGTACGTGCGTTAATTTATAAAATAATATTATACTTTTATTCAAAGGAGGGGAGACTATGATACACATACAATTTTGTTATCTCTCCTGATTAGTGTCAGGCTCGAAAAACACTTTGTCCAGGAGCTCGGAACACATGTCTATCTCATCTTGGTTTTCTACGGGTTTTAATTCCGACAATAATTGCTCCAAAGTGATTCTCAAACATAACTGGGGACGCCGACATTCCTTCAGCGCCGGTAAAAAATTATCGTTTACCATACCATGAAGAACTCTCAACAATTGCTCTCTGCGATAGAAATAATACTCGATCAAATAAGTTATCGAGGGTAAGGGTTTGAGCACAAAGATTGTCGTAGTCGTTTCCGACAGAGTCGTAAACGTAAATCGTAGATGTAAGTCAACGCACAATGATCTATGTAAACATAAGCCGTATTCATTAGGCCACGTAAACAACTATATGAATACGTAAATCATTGTGCATTGATTTACGTTATCCGATTTACGTTTATTACGACTCTGTCGGAAACGACTACGACAATCTTTGTGCTCAGGCCCTAATATGTTAAAAGTCGCAAGATTTTGCCTCGAAACGCTATAGGTACATTACCTGACTGTCGGCTGCAGATTCATTCTACCCAACAAGCCTGCAGCTTGTTCTATAAATCCCATTTTCGCTAAGGTACATTTTATATCGCTCGAGTCGTCCTTGCTACACAAGCTAGAGAGCAAGAACGCAGACTTCACCTGCAGCTTCTCCACTGGACTCTGCATCGCTCGCAAAAGCACCGAATAACCATCATTTGTGTCCATATACCTTAAGGACTTTGGATGTCCTCTGACTATACCTGCGTTTGAAATATAATTGTTAAATAAAAATCAAAATATAGAAATTTAAAAAATCAAGTTTTATCAATCATCACTTACACGATACTGCGTATAGAGCTTTTATCCTCGCCTGTTCCGATGGATCTGTGTCGATCATGGACAACAGGACAGGGAACACTCCAGCTTCGAGTAGCTTGTTCTGGCAAAATGGATTATTCTGCGCTAATTCAGCCATGATATCAGCTGTTCGCCATCTGATGTTACTGTGCGACGAGTTCAGGCATGGTTGGAATATCGCGAAACCCCCGATCTTGTAAAAATCATTGGCTATGTCGATATTGTCCACAAGATCCGCCATCCTCTCTAGCGCGTTCTCGTACTCGGAGGAATCGTCGTCGGCTCGTAGATTACCGACATCAGACAAGATCTGTATGGCCTTCTGCATTTCTTCTATTACGTTCACCGTTAACGACGATAGTGCTTCGTTCAAGAACGTCTTTTTCTGTAACATGCAGCGTACAATGTACAAGCATCGAACAAATTAAGAGTATTCCGATGTAGACTTAATTATTTAATACTTTTACTGCTAGGTCATATTTTTAAATATATTTACTTTTTGAAGCAGTATATTCTAATTCTGCATCTAATTCAAGGTCTATTGTTTTCAGCTGTACTGACTGCACGAGTTTTTTACTCCACATTGCAAGGAAAGACAACTTTAAACTAGCGTAGCCTGTTCAGCTGAAAAAAAAAGATCTTAAATAAATGTCATACTTCTTCGTCCAAAGGATAGACCGGCGATTTGTTTTCCTCGGATTGTGCTGCGTCCATGGCATACTTGAGCAATCCTTGCAGATTGGTCGGCTGCCTGGGTTGATTTGGTAAAGGTTGCGGAGTTGGTTGCATGTTATTAGAGGTGGAAGGACCTTCGATTGACAGTGGCCTCGCAGAGCTGTTCGATTGACCTTGATTGACATTTCTTCTCGAGTCGCCGCTTTCGGAACTAAAATCCATGTTTGTTTATATGAAAAACAGCAAATAGTTATATGTAAATTTAGGTTAATCATTATACGAGGTTAACACACGTACCTCATTTTGACTTGTTACTTTGTTTAGCAAATGATTATGTTCATCAACTGAATAATACAACATACAACTCGAAATAGATCTCCTACTCCTCACGATGTTTCAATTACTCATCATAATTCTCGCATCTCTCTTTATGGGATTTCGTATTATAACACATTTAAAGACGATGTGCATAGACTTAAGAATATTTAGATTGCCTACCTACATTAAAATGCGAGACGAATTCGCGCATGCGCAAGATTACGTTCAAAAATTTATTGCTCTGAGAATTTGAAATATAAATTTTTTTTTGTATCCTATTTAATCAAAAACTATATCCTACTTCAAAAAGTAAATATATTTAAAAATATGACCTAGCAGTAAAAGTATTAAATAATTAAGTCTACATCGGAATATGCATTAAATATTGAAAATTAGAGTTTGGAATTTAATTAGAATTAAAAGATTGGAATTTAATTAAAAAAGTTAAAATTCCTTTGTCCTTATTATTCAAATAAACCAATTTTTATTTTTAAAAAATCCTGAAGATGATTTTTTATTACATACATTAAATCACACTATATTAAATATATTCCTAAATTTTTACAAAAATTTAGTAATAATATAATCACATGATAAATATATATACCAATATCACTAACAAAATATATCATAACTAATATTTAACAATTTTCTGGAAAATATTCATGTTTTAGTTGTAGTGTTTATGCAATTCAATTATAGTTGACAAAAAATTTTTGCATTCAAATGTTGCTTCATATCGATGCCATCGATATACTTTGTAAAAAAAAAAAAAAAAAAAAAAAAAAAACTCAATTGCACTAATTTTTTCAAATATTCAAACAAAGTAATGTGGTTTTTTCACAATTATGCCATATTCCGCAACTGCTGGTGTGAGATCTTCCATTGTCAGTGTATAACGTCGATCCTTCCCTTTTGTCTTTGTGTTTTGATTGGCACCACGCGTTTTGCAGTGCTGCAGCGCATCATTGGCAACCTCCGAGATAAATTTTTGTGCTGCTAGAGATACCAGACGTACTCTAAAATAGATATCAATTCAGAATTAGTAAATTTGTATTAAAATCAATAAAGATTTATTAGTGAAGACCTAATAACACATAGGGCATAAATAACATATAGTTATATAAACAGTATTTAGTCTTACATTCTGGGATCTGTAGTGTTGAAACCAGCTGTATGCAAGTAATGCTCGCTGATGGCATCAGGTACCTGGTACAAACATATGAGATATACAATACACTTGACATATGCATAAACACAAATAGATAAACACAATTTCAGCAACACGCTTTGCACAATGTAAGATAAAAAATGTACTTTAATCAACAAAAAGAGATTAATACCGTTGGTGTATAATCTTCTAACTGCAACAGAAAGTCCGACAACGGTTGACCCGCAGTCTTGGCTTCTTCATTGTAAGTCGATGGTGTTTCCTTGCCAAAATTCTCTGCCATCTTTGCGCAAACAAATCGTCGTGCGAATTTCTGCTATTCTTTTATGCGTCTTTTAAATATATAATATAGCACTGTTCAACATTTATTGCACATTGCAGCTTCTCGTGTTCGAATTTCCAAAAAATACGATACTGTATCATGGACGCACACGTTTACGAAAATCATTTACACACATATGTTTAGATATAAATGATAGAGAAAGAGGGAGAAACGCAAGATTGTGTTCAAAAATTTACTCATCGGAGTAAAGTGACATTTGATCGACCAATCAGGACAAAAGGAGCAAAGATTTCTTCGATCTGATTGGTCAGTCGAAACTTGTACTCAGGCAAGTAGATTTTCGAACACAACTCGCAGCTAATTTATAATTGTACAGAATAGCGAGGCGTCAAGAATACAGAGAGACAGAATAAAAATGAATTCTCTCGGTAATATAACCTTAAAAAATCCAGAGTAGAGATACATATATATATATTAAATAATTTTTACAGTTACAAGCATTCTTCAATTAAAAAGAAGCATGATTTAAATCAGTAATGATACTGATCGATTGTAAAAATATTGCCGCACTGTAATTGTGTGTAAAAAGTATCGTAATTATCTAAAATATTGTTAATGAACGAACAATATGGAGAATCAAAATATAATTAACTCGATTCGCAGTAAATTGCTATTTTAACTATTAGTTTATACTGTATGAAAAACTTTTGAGTAAGTAAACATATTAATTTACTGAAAGAAAATAATGTGTAATTATAGCTTTTTATTCAAATAATGTAAAATATTTTTTTAGAATGGCATCTGAGGACATCAATCAGCAAACAATAGCAACTTCCTTGGAAGAAACTGGGCAACCTGTTAATAATACTTTACAGCAGGAAAATAATGTTAGAGATGTAAATTCAACAAAATTGCCGAATCATGGAACTCGACAACATAATAATCTTTTAAAAATACAGCAGCGCAAGCAGCAAATATATAATTGGCCACAAACCAAGAAACTAATGAAGCTTGCGAGTTACAGCAGTTGTCAAGCAGAAGAATGCAAATGTAATGGCTGGAAAAATGCGCAACCAGTTATAAAAACACAAAAAGGCGAGACACAGCAGTCTATTATAAACTTTTTGGATCCATGCAAGACTTGTACTCATACTTTAGAAAGTCACATTAAGCATATATCAGTGCAGTCCGAAGATGAAATCAATAGATTATTAGGGATGGCTATTGATGCGGACAACATTTTCATGACTATACACAAAGAAGAAGATATCGATACTAGAAAGGTATATTTTTATTTGTATAAAGTATTGAGGAGATCTATTTTATCTAGGACAAAACCAACTGTAGAAGGTCCATTAGGACAACCGCCATTCGAGAAACCTAGTATAGCAAAGGCAGTGATGAATTTTGTGTTATACAAATTCAGCCACTCTTCTCCAAGAGAATGGCAAAGCATGTACGATATGGCAAAAATGTTTCTACACTGTCTGAATTATTGGAACTTTGAATCACCCAGCACTAGAAAAACAAGTGTTATGGACGAAAGTCCTGCTTACAAAATTAATTACACCCGCTGGCTTATGTTCTGCTATGTACCTACGTTTTGCGACTCCTTACCTCACCATGATACTCCATTGGTCTTTGGCAAGACTTTGCTACAAGCTGTATTCAAACCACTTTATAGAGAATTAATGGACAAGTGCCATAGCGACAGAGAAAAAATAACGCCAGAGAAGAGAGTTATAGTTTTAACTCATTTTCCTAAGTATGTCTTAAAATTCTTTTCTTTTTTTACATTAATGTTTCATTAATAGAGTTCTATGCTACATAATCATAAATATTCAAGGTTCCTTTCGATGCTAAAAGCAGAAATTTATTCTAATAATTCGCTCATGTGGGATCCCGAGTTTAAACAAGCACCTCCTTCTCATCTGCAAGCTGCATTGGAATCAAAGGCGCATCAAGCGCGAAAGACAGGGGAATTTGAAAGAGTCATTGCACCACCAAATGAGAAGGATAATTATACTACAATAAATATTAGTCCTGGACCTGGAATAAGGAAGCTTGCCGAAAAGCGTTCTTATTCCGAAGGACGGCACGAAACGGCAAAGAAACGAAAAGGAGAGGAGGCTTTTGAGGATCTACCTGATGATACTATTGTTGAAATTGTTGCGACTATTAATGACCCCAATTATATGTGTGGCCCTGATGCGGTATTTCCACCGGACGGTCCACGGGATGAAGCTGCTAAGAATGAAGAAAGCGAGAAAATTATAGAATTTCACATTGTTGGAAACAGTCTCACCCAACCTGTGTCTAAGCAAACTATGCTTTGGCTGATAGGATTACATAATGTATTCAGCCATCAATTGGTCAGAATGCCGAAAGAATATATATCTCAATTCGTTTTGATCCGTGAGTATATCTTGTCCAAAGTAACAGTAATATGTTAATTACTTTATCATTAATATTATTTATATTAATATAATATTATTAATATTAATGTTGTTATTACTTATGTTTGATATGTGTTATTTATTGCAAATAGGAAGCATAAAACTTTAGCTTTGATAAAGAATGGCCGTCCAATTGGCGGTATTTGTTTTCGCATGTTTCCTACTCAGGGCTTCACTGAGATAGTGTTCTGCGCTGTTACTAGCCAAGAGCAAGTAAAGGGTTATGGAACACATTTGATGAATATGCTGAAAGACTATCATATAAAAAATAACATATTGCATTTTCTCACATTTGCGGACGAATTTGCAATCGGATACTTTAAAAAGCAGGGATTTAGCAAAGATATAAAATTACCGAAATCGATGTATCAAGGATATATCAAAGATTATGAAAGAGCGACATTAATGCATTGTGAATTAAACTCTAAAATAGTATATACCGAATTTACATCAGTTCTGAGAAAACAAAAAGAAATCGTCAAGAAATTAATTTATCAGAAGCAACAGGAAATACAAAAGGTTCATCCTGGCTTGACGTGCTTCAAAGAGGGTGTGAGAGGCATTCCCGTGGAATCAATTCCGGGAATTCGGGAAACCGGATGGAAGAGTTATGCGCAAGCGAGAACGAGAGGTCTGGCGAAAGGAACGCAAAATTTAGAACTTATAGATTGCATAGATATGTCGGAGTCTCTATATAACGCTTTAAATAGTGTTTTGAATAGTGTAAAGAATCACAGTACGGCTTGGCCATTCCTAGAACCTGTAGATAAGGACGACGTGCCAGATTATTATGATCATATAAAATATCCTATGGGTAAGAAATTAAAATTAAAAATATGATTATAAAATAATAAAATTTAAATTTGCAATAAATAATATATAGTAAAAGCAATGGCACAATAGTAATAAATAATAACTATATATATAATTTTCAATACGTATAACAGTATATTATTCTTCATATTATAGATCTCAAGACTATGGAAGACCGTTTAAAATCTAGATACTATGTAACTAGAAGATTATTTATAGCAGATATGACACGGATTTTTACGAATTGTAGATTATACAATAGTCTAGACACTGATTATTATCGCTGCGCCAATGCTCTGGAAAAGTATTTTCAGACACGTATGAAAGAGATTGGTCTATGGGATAAGTAGAATTTTTTCAAATATATCTCCTCTTGTGTGATATAATATAAAAAATACAAATATGATCAATATGTATATTTGTCTATTATTCCTCTATTACTTCTAAACACACATGTGTACGCACACAGAGTTTCCATATAATTTTTCATTACATTATAAAATACTATTCTATGAAGAGATACTCATGAAAGAACCATGAAAGAAAAAAATCAATAAATAAAACGTTCTACGTTTCATATATTTTCTTTATTTTTAACATTTTATAGAAAATGATATGTAGCTTTCAAAGTATGTTTTATTTATTTTTTATACATATATCTTTATAGAATGCATCTTATTTGGACTCTCGTGTAAGTTAACAAATATTACTTTTGTAGACAATTTGTGATTATAAAAAATATAATTAGAAATTAAAAATTTATATTTGATCATTTTTTTAAACATTTGCTCTTTAGTTAAGTTTTGCCATTAATCAGTTTTATGTTATTGATTGTATAAGTGCCATCATTGTTTCTATTTTTAATTATTAAGTTTTTTATAATTATAATTTTTTAGTTCTATAATATTATAATGTGGACTTTATTTACGTGTTTATTCTTTTAAAATATATATATTTTTATATATTTAAAATACTTTTTCGATACTTTCCCGTATTAAAATAAAATTTAATTTTTCACATATAATTCATATTAATTTACAAAATGACAGTTTGATGATATCTTTATTTTTAGTTAATGTTGAAAATAAGCATGAAATTAACATGAAACATATCTTTAAAATTGCAGAATCTAACAATCGTAAATTTAAATCTGTTAAAATTATAGAAAGAATTTTAAAAAATTATACTTTATATTTTTTGTATTTAGCAGATTTAAAATTTACCGCGATATGACCAAGCCCAATAGAAATAATTATTGTAGCCAATCAGCTTACCAGCTGTTCCGTAAGAGCGAAAAATGATTGGCTAATATGGAGTGTCTGCTCGTGTCATTTGCACTTTTGAGCATCTAGAGAGACAGAGAGAGAGAGAGAAAAAAAACAAGCGAAAAATCAAGGTGCAGAAGACGAGAACAGACCATCTGGGACGTGAATGCAGTTGGAAATGTAGAAAGGGATGCAATTTATATAACCTAATTTGTCAAAAATTTGTGTTTTGACATCAACAATAGTAATGATACATTATAATATCATAACGTAGTAAAAAATACACAAATTGTAACAGCGTGAAAATTACATACAGATGTAATTATTTAAATAAAAGTATTATGGAATATTCGAGCCCAACAATATATCGTCGGGAATAATTAATTAACTTAATTTCGTAGAGAGAACTGAAATCTGATTTACTTGTATTATAGAAGGAGCTATTAACATCAATTCACGTATGTATTAATTTATTTCAAAAGCTTTTAATTACTAATGATTGATTTATACACAACTACATATATATATATATTTCTTACAATATAATGTGACTAACATTTTATTATGTTGTAATATTTTATTCAGGATGGCATCCGAAGATGTTAAATCTCAAACTACCGTGACTTCTTTGGAAGAGACTGGCCAGTCTGTTACTAGTAACTTACAGCCGGAAAGTAAAGATAAAACTTCGCCTAAGCCACAAAATCAAGTAAATCGAAATCAAAACAATCTGCAGAGGATACAGCAGCGCAAGCAGCAAATGTATAATTGGCCACAAGTGAAGAAACTATTGAAACTTGCAAGTTACAGCGCTTGTCAAATGGAAGAGTGCAAATGTATTGGCTGGAGAACTGCACAACCAATTTCAAAAACACAAAAAGGCGAGACACAGCAGCCTGTTATAAACTTTTTTGATCCATGCAAGATGTGTACTCATACTTTAGATAGTCACATTAAGCATATATCAGTGCAATCTGATGATGAAATCAACAGATTATTAGGAATGGTTATTGATGCAGACAACATTTTCATGACTTTAAACAGAGAAAGAGATATCGATATTAAAAAAGTATATTTTTATTTATATAAAGTGTTGAGGAAATGTATTTTATCTTTGATAAAACCAATCTTAGAAGGTCCATTAGGACACCCACCGTTTGAAAGACCAAGCATAAGGGAGGCAGTGATGAATTTTGTTCTATATAAATTCAGTCATTTGCTTCCAAGAGAATGGCATGTAATGTCAGACATGGCAAATATGTTTTTGCACTGCCTGAATTATTGGAATTTTGAAGCGCCCAGTACCAGAGCTGCTCGAACTGCGGAGGAAAGCTCTGCTTATAAACTTAGTTATGCTCGTTGGCTTGTCTTCTGTCATGTGCCTGCATTTTGCGACTCGCTGCCGCATTATGATACTCACACAGTTTTCGGAAAGACTTTGCTACAGGCTGTATTCAGATCAGTTTGTGAGCAATTAATGCTGAAATGTCAAAGTGAAAGAGAAAAATTAACGCCGGAGAGAAGGCCTTTACTTCAAACACATTTTCCCAAGTATGTTCGACATTTCTTTTTTCATTCTTATATTCATGTCTTATGAATATCATTTGAGTTACAACCTTTTATGTTTAAGGTTTCTTTCATTGTTGGAAAAAGAAATTTATTCTGATAATTCGCCTATTTGGGATCCCGAATTTAAACAGTCTGCACCTTCTCATCTTCAAATTGCCTTGGAACCAAAGGCATACCAAGTGCGAAAGACAGGGGAATTTGAAAGCGTCACTGTGCAAGCAAATGAGAAGGATAATTATACTACAATCAATATTAGTCCTGGAATGAAGAAAATTCAAGAAAAACGTTCAAACATCGAAGTGCGCCTTGATCCAAAGAGGCGAAAGAACGAAGAGACTTTTGAAGATCTGCCGGAGGAGACTATCACTAAAATTGTCGCGTCTATTAATGACACTAATTATAGATGTATATCCGATTCTGACGCGGTATTTCCACCGGACGTTCCGCGGGACGAAACTGCTAAAAACGAGTGAGTAAAAAGATAATAGAGTTTCATGTTGTTGGAAACAGTCTTACACGACCAGTGTCTAAGTAAACTATGCTCTGGCTGATAGGATTACAAGACGTATTTAGTCATCAATTACCTGAAACGTTCAAAGAATATTGCGAAAGACAGGGGAATAATTAAGTCTACATCGGAATATGCATTAAATATTGAAAATTAGAGATTGGAATTTAATTAGAATTAAAAGAGTGGAATTTAATTAAAAAAGTTAAAATTCCTTTGCCCATTTCTTTGCAGTAAATTTGCAATAAATAATATATAGTAAAAGCACTGGTACAATAGTAATAAATAATAACTATATATATAATTTTCAATACGTATAACTATATTATTCTTCATATTATAGATCTCAAGACTATGGAAGACCGTTTAAAATCTAGATACTTTGTAACTAGAAGATTATTTATAGCAGATATGACACGGATTTTTACGAATTGTAGATTATACAATACAATAGTCTAGACACTGATTATTATCGCTGCGCCAATGCTCTGGAAAAGTATTTTCAGACACGTATGAAAGAGATTGGTCTATGGGATAAGTAGAATTTTTTCAAATATATCTCCTCTTGTGTGATATAATATAAAAAATACAAATACGATCAATATGTATATTTGTCTATTATTTCTCTATTACTTCTAAATACACATGTGTACGCACACAGAATTTCCATATAATTTTTCATTACATTATAAAATACTATTCTATGAAGAGATACTCATGAAAGAACCATGAAAGAAAAAAATCAATAAATAAAACGTTCTACGTTTCATATATTTTCTTTATTTTTAACATTTTATAGAAAATGATATGTAGCTATCAAAGTATGTTTTATACATATATCTTTATAGAATGCATCTTATTTGGACTCTCGTGTAAGTTAACAAATATTACTTTTGTAGACAATTTGTGATTATAAAAAATGTAATTGGAAATTAAAAATTTATATTTGATCATTTTTTTAAACATTTGTTTTTTAGTTAAGTTTTGCCATTAATCAGTTTTATGTTATTGATTGTATAAGTGCCATCATTGTTTCTTTTTTTAATTATTAAGTTTTTTATAATTATAATTTTTTAGTTCTATAATATTGTAATGTAGACTTTATTTACGTGTTTATTCTTTTATAATATATATACTTTTTATATATTTAAAATACTTTTTCGATACTTTCTCGTATTAAAATAAAATTTAATTTTTCACATATAATTTATATTAATTTACAAAATAACAGTTTGATGATATCTTTATTTTTAGTTAATGTTGAAAATAAGCATGAAATTAACATGAAACATATCTTTAAAATTGCAGAATCTAACAATCGTAAATTTAAATCTGTTAAAATTATGGAAAAAATTTTAAAAAATTATACTTTATATTCTTTGTATTTAGCAGATTTAAAATTTACCGCGATATGACCAAACCCTATAGAAATAATTATTGTAGCCAATCAGCTTACCAGCTGTTCCGTAAGAGCGAAAAATGATTGGCTAATATGGAGTGTCTGCTCGTGTCATTTGCACTTCTGAGCATCTAGAGAGACAGAGAGAGAGAGAGAGAGAGAGAGAAAAAAAACAAGCGAAAAATCAAGGTGCAGAAGGCGAGAACAGACCATCTGGGACGTGAATGCAGTTGGAAATGTAGAAAGGGATGCAATTTATATAACCTAATCTGTCAAAAATTTGTGTTTCGACATCAACAATAGTAATGATACATTATAATATCATAACGTAGTAAAAAATACACAAATTGTAACAGCGTGAAAATTACATACAGATGTAATTATTTAAATAAAAGTATTATGGAATATTCGAGCCCAACAATATATCGTCGGGAATAAACTTAATTTCGTAGAGAGAACTGAAACCTGATTTACTTGTATTATAGAAGGAGCTATTAACATCAATTAACGTATGTATTAATTTATTTCAAAAGCTTTTAATTACTAATGATTGATTTATACACAACTACATATATATATATATTTCTTACAATATAATGTGACTAACGTTTTATTATGTTGTAATATTTTATTCAGGATGGCATCCGAAGATGTTAAATCTCAAACAACCGTGACTTCTTTGGAAGAGACTGGCCAGTCTGTTACTAGTAATTTACAGCCGGAAAGTAAAGATCAAAATTCGCCTAAGCCACAAAATCAAGTAAATCGAAATCAAAACAATCTGCAGAGGATACAGCAGCGCAAGCAGCAAATGTATAATTGGCCACAAGTGAAGAAACTATTGAAACTTGCAAGTTACAGCGCTTGTCAAATGGAAGAGTGCAAATGTAGTGGCTGGAGAACTGCACAACCAATTTCAAAAACACAAAAAGGCGAGACACAGCAGCCTGTTATAAACTTTTTTGATCCATGCAAGATGTGTACTCATACTTTAGATAGTCACATTAAGCATATATCAGTGCAATCTGATGATGAAATCAACAGATTATTAGGAATGGTTATTGATGCAGACAACATTTTCATGACTTTAAACAGAGAAAGAGATATCGATACTAAAAAAGTATATTTTTATTTATATAAAGTGTTGAGGAAATGTATTTTATCTTTGATAAAACCAATCTTAGAAGGTCCATTAGGACACCCACCGTTTGAAAGACCAAGCATAAGGGAGGCAGTGATGAATTTTGTTCTATATAAATTCAGTCATTTGCTTCCAAGAGAATGGCATGTAATGTCAGACATGGCAAATATGTTTTTGCACTGCCTGAATTATTGGAATTTTGAAGCGCCCAGTACCAGAGCTGCTCGAACTGCGGAGGAAAGCTCTGCTTATAAACTTAGTTATGCTCGTTGGCTTGTCTTCTGTCATGTGCCTGCATTTTGCGACTCGCTGCCGCATTATGATACTCACACAGTTTTCGGAAAGACTTTGCTACAGGCTGTATTCAGATCAGTTTGTGAGCAATTAATGCTGAAATGTCAAAGTGAAAGAGAAAAATTAACGCCGGAGAGAAGGCCTTTACTTCTAACACATTTTCCCAAGTATGTTCGACATTTCTTTTTTCATTCTTATATTCATGTCTTATGAATATCATTTGAGTTACAACCTTTTATGTTTAAGGTTTCTTTCATTGTTGGAAAAAGAAATTTATTCTGATAATTCGCCTATTTGGGATCCCGAATTTAAACAGTCTGCACCTTCTCATCTTCAAATTGCCTTGGAATCAAAGGCACACCAAGTGCGAAAGACAGGGGAATTTGAAAGAGTCACTGTGCAACCAAATGAGAAGGATAATTATACTACAATCAATATTAGTCCTGGAATGAAGAAAATTCAAGAAAAACGTTCAAACATCGAAGTGCGCCTTGATCCAAAGAGGCGAAAGAACGAAGAGACTTTTGAAGATCTGCCGGATGAGACTATCGCTGAAATTGTCGCGTCTATTAATGACACTAATTATATATCCGGTTCTGACGCGGTATTTCCACCGGACGTTCCGCGGGACGAAACTGCTAAAAACGAAGAAAGTAAAAAGATAATAGAGTTTCATGTTGTTGGAAACAGTCTTACACGACCAGTGTCTAAGCAAACTATGCTCTGGCTGATAGGATTACAAGACGTATTTAGTCATCAATTACCTGAAACGTTCAAAGAATATATTACTCAGCTTGTTTTTGATCCGTGAGTAATATCAGTAATATATTAAATAAATATTAAGGTTAATATTTATTTATATATATCGGCGTATTAAATCAATTTTTATAGTCACATCCACAGTAATAGAATGTATCTTTTGTCTTAGAAAGCACAAAACACTAGCCTTGATAAAGGACAATCGACCAATTGGCGGTATCTGCTTCTGTATGTTTCCAAGCCAAGGTTTCACCGAAATAGTGTTCTGTGCTGTCACGAGTCACGAGCAAGTAAAAGGATACGGGACACACTTGATGAATATGTTGAAAGATTATCATATCAAGAACAACATACTACATTTTCTCACGTTCGCAGATGATTTTGCTATTGGATACTTTAAGAAGCAGGGATTTAGCAAAGACATAAAACTGCCGAAATCGGTACACCAGGGATACATTAAATATTATGTAAAAGCGACATTGATGCATTGTGAACTAAATCCGAAGATTGTGTACACTGAATTCACGGCGGTTATCAGAAAGCAGAAGGAAATTTTAAAGAAGCTTATTCATCAGAAGCAACAAGAAATACAGAAAGCGCATCAAGGCTTGACATGTTTCAAAGAAGGCGTAAGAATAATTCCCATCGAGTCTATTCCGGGAATTAATGAAACTGGATGGAAAAGTTCCGCTCAAACTAGAACGAGAGGTGTGACGAAGGGAGCGCAAGGTGCCGAATCGATAGAGCCAAACCTAGATATGTCAGATTCTCTATATAACACATTAAATGGTGTTTTGAACAGCGTGAAGAAGCATAGTGCAGCGTGGCCTTTCTTGGAACCCGTAGATAAAAATGTTGCTCCAGATTATTACGATCATATAATATATCCCATGGGTGAGTTTAAGAAAAGTGTTTGTACATTTAACTGGCTTTGTATTGCTTTATGATCATATAATTAGGAAAAAGCAATTGTAGCAAAAATGTGTAAAGAACTAAAGATCTATTTATTCTTGTTACAGATCTCAAAACCATGCAAGAGCGTTTAAACGCTGGATACTATGTAATTAAGAGATTATTTATAGCAGATATGTTACGGATCTTCACTAACTGCAGATTGTACAATAGCTCCGACACTGAATATTACCGATGTGCCAATGCCTTGGAGAAATACTTTCAAACACGTATGAAAGAAGTCGGTCTCTGGGATAAGTAAATCTATTAATACTGTTGTGATACACACACAGATACATTATATAGATATATATATAATAACGATATGTTGGCAATTGAAACTTCTTAACTTATTCTTACTACAAAGTCTATTTGCTTTATAAAGAAAGTCCATATCGAGAAATGCACACTACTTCTTGTGCAATATATTTGTATTAAAAGAAAATTAGATATATTCTTCTTATATGTGAATCTGTATGCAAATAGCCAAACTAAAGGAAAAAGTGAAAAATGCTTTTTTTTTTTTTTTTCACTAGATTACATTAGATTATAAATATCATAATTTAAAAGAAGCCTTTTTCAAGTAATTTTTGAAAATACTTGTGTTTCACAATTATTATATATATAAATATTTAAAAATATAAATTTAAAATATTTAAAATTATTTAAAATATCAAGTATAATTATTGACGATTTTAATTTATTGTAAATTATTTAAAATTCTGTTGTAATTTTTTTCGATTGATTTTTTAATATTAAGGTGCCTTTTCACGAACCGCTGAAACCGATTGTTTGAGCGACACAATGATCACGTAACAACTTGTCGCTGAATTAAACAGCGATAATTTTTGTACATGAAAAAGATAGCAGCGTGACAGAACTGAAAGTTGAGCGTTTAAGCAGTAAATGCTTTGTAGTTGAACTGATTCAAACTACAAAATTATTGATGCTGGATTACAAATTTGTCGCTTCAATCGCTTGTTTTAGCGGCATGTGAAATTGCCTCTTTATTCTCTATATTCACCTTTTAGAGATCAATTGGATACGCATATGAATATGCCATGTATATATATGCACGCGCATAAATATATAGTATATATATATATATATATATTGTAAAACAAAGCTTAATATTTTATATAGTATCGATTATGTGAAAATTGTTTGTATGTGGCCTTTTTAGTCCGTTGCACTTACCACGTAGCATTATGCTGTTAAAAATATTAAAAGTGGTTTATGCAAAAAAATGATCTAGGCAAAAATTTTAAACCAAAGTGGGTACTTAATTTCACAGCCTAATTAATATCATTAGTCGAACAGTTAATTAAGGAGCGTAATACGGCGATTACAGGGATCGCTCTGGTAGGTGATCAGTCTACGGAACAGCGATTCCCTGTAATGCACGTCGGTTTGTATATTAAGTAAATTCTTAAAAGGAATAACGCTTGTGTTATATTTGCAAAGTGATACAAATGCAGTGCAACAGTAACTGCAACGATATTTGTATCACATGCTTGTATTTAAAAAAATCGATTGTATTTATTGTAAATTAATTGTAATAATTCTATGACACTATATGACGAAAAAATTATTGTAAAATTTGGAGAGTCAATTTATTTATTTATTTTTTTTTTTTAATAGTGCAAGTCCTTTTAAAGCTTCTTGAATATGTTTTATAGAATAGATAGTAGTTCGATTATCTAATTTTAGAAAAATGCACACACATTTGTGGGAGGGCACAGTTTAGATCAATTAAGATATTTTAGCCCATTAACCTTATGAGCTTTCGCGTGTTACTTTTTTTCAGTTTTTGTTCAATTTCGCCGCCCGATAACTGTGCGACTTATATGGAATGGAATCATTGAATGATTTTACAATTGCGCTGTCCCGTTGGTTCGATGTAGCTTCAGTTGCAATTTATACGGCTGGAATTCTAAAATAAATTTCAATGAATGCATCTTTTCCTTATCTTTCGATAGAATTTTCACTCGCCTGAGAGGCTTTGGCGCAAATGAAATTGCATTCTTCGCGCGTAATATCTGAAGAGATCGCAATCTACTTTGGCAGATTTGCAGATAAATGCATCAATGCGATTGCAAGAACATGGAGAAACGTATGCTCCAATTACCGCGATGACTTTTTATGCATTCAACGGAGATAACATTACGGAGCGGTAACTAGCCAGTTATAATTGGCATACATTAAAAAGAAATTAACTCAATTATTAAAAAATTGTAGATATTATATTCTTTTAAAATGTAATAAACGTGTAAAATGTGTATGTACATGTGAACGTGTAAGTGTATGCAAGAATGCTATCTATTAATACTTAACGGCAATTAAATGCGAATTTGTAACATTATGTTCTATCATAATTTTTAAGGGACGGGTGTAAAATTATATTGTACGAAATTATTTATCTTGTTTTTTTTCACTCTCTGTGCGTTAATATTTTTTATTTTCACTTTCTTCCTCATTTTTTACATTTTCGATTTGATAGTTTTTCTCTTTTCAAATTTTAATTATGGGTCGAATAAAATCAATTTTTTTAGCGATTTTAAAAAATTATGAAACTTGATAAAATTACAAGTTTTTTAAATTGGACAATCATATAATTTAGCTTTCTGAACGGATTAAAAAATTATAACAATTGAATGGATAGTTTTTATTTTCTTTAAACACTTAGACATGTCCAAAAAATTATTTTATCATATAATGCAAAATGTTCAGAAAGATGTTTTTTAATATAAAAAAATTGTGATACTTTAATCTAAGGTTGCACCCTCTTAAACTCGTATTCTTATTCACGTATAATTTAAGTGCATGTTACCTTTAATGTAAAAAGCTGAACTCTATACATTATTATATTTATCATTGTATTCTCATTGTTAAAATGTATTCGTCGTGTAATTCGCAAATTTATAAACAGATTTTACGAAAAAAGATCAAAATCAATTTGCAAATATTCCTTGTATATGTACAGCAAGCGAAAGTATTTCTCTTTGCGTTTAATTACGAGAGAAATCTGCGTTAAGTGTTAAGCCGATTTGGAGAGATACACCACAGTTTCCGAGGTCTTTGTACAAAAACACGGATATGCGTCGTCGCGGATCTGTGGCGGGAGAGGAAGGGAGCTCGTATATAAAGCAACTCTTCCTTCTACGAGGAAGCGCAATGCTCCAATGTCACGCGAGGACGCAGTAACATCTAGTCTTCTTCGAGTCCTCAACTCCCAATTTATCCGTCGCAGGCGCGAATCGCTATCTAAAAAATTCGCTAAAAAATTTAGAAAATCGTGAAATTAATTTTGCATCATTCTTGTATATTCTAAAATGTGCGACGACGACGTAGCCGCACTGGTGATCGACAATGGCTCCGGGATGTGCAAGGCCGGATTCGCCGGGGACGATGCTCCTCGGGCCGTGTTTCCTTCCATCGTTGGGAGACCCCGATACCAGGTGAAGAAAAAAAAAACACCAATAAATCAAGTTTGCACATCTCATAATATATATCTTATAATTTAATTAATTCTACTCTAATCACAAAGGACATGTTTCTGTATAGGGAATCATGGTGGGCATGGGACAAAAGGACAGTTACGTCGGCGACGAGGCGCAGAGCAAACGGGGTGTCCTCACCGTCAAGTACCCGATAGAGCACGGGATCGTCACCAACTGGGATGACATGGAGAAGATCTGGCATCACACGTTCTACAACGAGCTGAGAGTCGCGCCGGAGGAGCATCCGGTCCTGCTGACGGAGGCGCCCTTAAATCCCAAGGCGAATCGCGAGAAAATGACGCAGATCATGTTCGAGACCTTCAACACCCCGGCCATGTACGTCGCCATCCAGGCTGTCCTGTCGCTGTACGCGTCAGGACGCACGACTGGCATCGTCCTGGACAGCGGCGATGGGGTGTCTCACACGGTACCGATTTACGAAGGTACAATTATGCTCCTCCGCTTGTCCTCTGGTCGTCTCAGTTCCGTTCGTCATCACCGAATGACCTGAAAAGAAGAATACGTCAGCGCTTGATGTTGTAATCTTTTGTTCTTTCTTCAGGATACGCTCTACCCCACGCAATTCTGCGTTTGGATCTAGCCGGCCGCGACCTTACAGATTACTTGATGAAAATTCTGACCGAGAGAGGCTACACCTTCACGACTACCGCTGAGCGCGAGATTGTGCGCGATATCAAGGAGAAGTTGTGCTACGTGGCCTTGGATTTCCAGCATGAAATGGCAACGGCCGCCGCGTCGACCGCGTTAGAAAAGAGTTACGAGTTGCCGGACGGTCAGGTAAGTCTCGCTTCTTTTTGATCGTAGAGATCGGGATACTTTGTATTGGAATATCTTTTTCTAGCAACACTTTAAACAAATTATTTCTTTGTAACTAATAAAAAAAAATACATTTCTCCTTGCTAAAGATAAGCGTACCTCGCAAATGACGTTTGAGCGTAATGAGCTTTGATGATGGAATGGGGCGGCGCACTCATTAACATTAATCGCACGCGTTCGCGCCCAGGGAATGTTAACTCGTCATGGATTGCCTGGCCGGCGCGGTCAGTGGACGAAGACGTGTAACGGGTAACGGTTCGATTCCAGGTCATCACGATCGGCAACGAGCGCTTCCGTTGCCCGGAAGCGATGTTCCAGCCGAGCTTCCTGGGCATGGAGTCCTGCGGTATACACGAGACGACGTACAACTCGATCATGAAGTGCGACGTCGACATCCGCAAGGATCTATACGCCAATTCGGTGCTCTCGGGCGGCACCACCATGTATCCGGGTATCGCCGATCGGATGCAGAAGGAGATAACGACGCTCGCGCCGCCCACCATGAAGATCAAAGTGATCGCGCCGCCCGAGAGGAAGTACTCGGTCTGGATAGGCGGCTCGATCCTCGCCAGCCTCAGCACGTTCCAACAGATGTGGATCTCCAGGCAGGAGTACGACGAGCTAGGACCGTTCATCGTGCATAGAAAGTGTTTCTAGGGATCTTGACGCTTTACGCTTTAATGCCATCTCCACCCTTAAACGCTTCTCGATCGAGAAGGCTCCTGGCTCCTCACCGATCATGTTAGAATTGTGATGTCAGAGGCGAGAAAACACGCTAAAAATTCTTATATGTCATTTCAAAAGAAAGATATTTCGATGAAACAACACTTCAGATGACTTTAGCACACTCTTAAAAATACCTCGAAAACTATATTTTTCTCTTATAATCAATCAACAGCTGTAAAATGACTGTAATATGAAACCACCCAGTCCGTCTAGTCTATGCACATGCGTGGTCATTCGGCATGACAAAGTCTGATATCACGATCATTTTACGGTTGTTAATTGACTGTTATACAACAAATTGTTTTTAATTGAGTTTAAAATTGTTATTAATTGAGGTATTTTAAAAGTGTACTAAAACCATTTGAAGTAACATTTCATTGAAGTAACTTTTCATTAAAAAATGACATCTAAGAATTTTCAGCGTGTGTTTTCTCGCCTCTGACGTCACAATCTAATATGCGGCGAGAATCCAAGAGCCTTAGGGTGCGTTCCGTTATGCACTGCAAGTACTGGCACTATGACGTCATGCAAGTGTACTGTTGACAGCGTTCCTTTTTAATTTTGTGCACTTTGAAGCTACTGCAAAATAGTAAAACGGAACGCACTACAGTACGCTTTCAGCAGACTTTTAACTAACCTTTTTCGCTAATAATCATCGAGTGAAAAATTGGTGAAATGGATAATACCATTATTGCATTAATTACATATAATTTAATCGAGAATATATATGATTCGAGTGAGTCATCAAGTGAAAGCGATTTGGAAATGGAATTAATAAATGAAATGAGACGACAAATTAAAATACCTAGAATAAAATGTAAAAATTACGTTAAAAATATTGTATCATTATATTCAGATATGGAATTTAAAAGTTAGTTCCATCGTACACATGGAGGTAGCCATCTTGATTACTGCGAGTGCTTTACCTCGCCGGTTGCAGTAATCGCAACAGGAAATAACGTCAAAATTAATGACGTCATATACTCATGATAGTACTTTCGCAGTGCACTGCTATCTATATCGGAACGCTATTGGTAGTACTGTCAGTACTTGCAGTGCATAACGGAACGCACCCTTAATCCTTAGTAGACCATATGCAGGGTAATTGACAGAAAAAGAGAGAGAGAGAGAGAGAGAGAAAGTCAACTTTATATCTCTTGAGTAGTAATTTATTATATTTCCTGAGTATAGTGACTTTTTTACATACTTTCCGAGAAACAGCATCGCGCGCGTTTCTTGAAAAATAATTTTTTTATTCGCCGAGAGACATAATTTCTTATTTTTCAAGTATCAAAATCAAGTGCAATGATGAAATTCGACGTCCGATCTGTTAATTCTCGTTGCATTCACGTATTTTAAGAATCAACTCTTCATTCCTCCGGATTCGGGAATTTGCGCACAGATCGAACAGAGCCATAGAAAGATTCATTCAATGTTTCCTTTTTATTTTCAAAATGTTATATTTTCGAGATATTACATAGCAGGACGTTTAAGGCAGATGACATTGGAGAAAGTCTATTTTCTCCCTCTTGAAAATTTCCGTACAACTTTTAACACACTCATCTGCCGACACAATGAAATTTCTTCTCTCTTGACATATATTGGAAAATAATAATTTATATATCCTCTTATAGAATTGTCGCACATTTTTTTTTATAGAATATGTACTAAGAACTCAAGTGATAATTTCACAGCTAGAAAAAAAATGTCATTTACAAGGTACCGATAATTACATTCGTAGTATCAACAGTATACAATGCTGTCTTGTGTTCATGAAATTCTAATAGTCTTCACGGACGGTTAATACACTATCTTACATTTTATATATACATATGTATAATATTTTTATATATATTATAAATATATTATATATATATATACGTAACATATATATATGTAATATATTTTTACATATATAATAAATATTATATAAATGTACTTATTTATTATAGAAAATATATACCTTTAAAAAATAGAACGTAAAAAAAGCTATCACTGAAGATATATACAATTTTCTTTTTTCGTTCATTCAGGAGATAGATAGATTATTACGCGGATTAACGACGTCTTAAAATTATGTGATATACGGCAGATGGAAATATGTATATGCGAAAATAATATGTTGTTATCTGCTCGTTTTATTATTTCGCGCATCGCGATATCCCTTATATTCGTAATACCACAGCTTTTCTATATAACGCAAATGAAATCGGAATTATCACAAATCGAACTATCGTCTCTCGATAAGGTGCTATTGTCAGAAAATTGAAGCAATTGGGACAGAGCTACAAAATTATACTTTTACAGAATTATAAAATAATATTAATATCCAAAGATAATGTACCATGAATGAAAATTTGTGATTTTTTCTGAAGAAATACATATACGTCTTATTTATCAAATAAATTTGCACAAAGGTAGTAAGTTTAACTGATTGTGCTACAAAACAGTCATTAGTCGCAGTATTAATGACTTTACAATTGTTTACAAATATTTCAAGTTTTTCCCCGCCTGCTTCTCGGATCATGATATAGCGTTTAACATGTGTTGGGAGCAAAAATAGTATACGCTATACTGAAATCGCTTATAACAAGAGAGCTTAAAACTCAATAGATACACAATATATAAATTATATCAAAAGGCGTCCAGTTTCTTTTAGTTACAGATTTTCTCAACATGAATTTTTCTTCAGCGAAAAGTCCAATGTTGAAAGTTAAATGTTATTTTTTACAATTAGGCCTTCAAATTTTCCTGAAGATTTTAAATGTTAGAGAATCTGTCACTGAGAGGAAGCGCATATTTTTCTGAGACACTGTGCAATAAATATATTTGTACTATAAAGTTTTAGAGTTAACAAAATTGCGCTGTGTTTGCAAAGATACCTAACTTTTCATACTGAGTATTTAACATTTTTCCATATTAAGCGATATTATACACAGAATTTGCACACAACCTTAAAAAAAGAGGCTACCCAAGATTAAAAAACTGATTATATTCTTCCGTTATGTAACATTGCCTTACAACATATTTTTACAAAGTGTATGTCATTAATGTGTACATGGTAGAGATTTCGTTAAGATTTTTACAATTAGTAATAGCAAAAAAACTTAATTACAAAATTAATATAAATAGTTTGATATAATTGTCAAAAAATTTTGCAAATATTGTCAACTCGCTGAAATGGAACGGAAATCTATTTCAGAGTTGAAAATTTTCCGATATATCAGTATAAACTGATACATCGTTTCGTCATGTGTGATATACATATATTCATAGTTATATAAATAAAATGACCAACACCAAGTACAAAATGTAGAATAGCCGTATCAAAGAAGTGGTATTGACAATGAATTTACTTAATCAACAAAAATATAGAAAAAATAAAGTATACTATATTGCAGATGTTTAAAAAGTCAATAAAAATATCTTTGGGAGGGAGGGGGGAAGGATGCTCCTACATTATCTGCTTAGCAATGAGAAACGTTTCAAATATGGCGTGAGAGGGAGCAATAGTATTTTCAAGAGTTTAAAACCGACGGTACAGATAAAATCAGTTCTGTCCATTTTTATAAAAATTTATATCCCCTAGACTTTTCTCCTACCTGTAGATTTTCTTCTACTTGTTGAACGTTTAGGACGTCGACACTTTATTCGTGCTGTATTCGACCAAGGTAAAGAAAATTCACTGAAAAGAAAGGGATAATTATATCAATTATATTATATATAAAAATGTAATACGTGTACATTGAAAAAGTTCATTTCCTCACATTGGAGTAAAACTAGGAATAGAAGAGCCAAATGCAGTTACTGGCAAGTGAAGATCCACTTGGAGACTTTGAATTTGTTCTACATCAGGCCACAAGGACGTAACAGTTTCCTCCTCCATGGACGAAGGACAAGGACCGGTGTGATTAGTATTGTAGCACGTAGCTTGATGATTTTGACGTTCTTGTCTCTGTTTTAATTTCTCTATGTGCCTTTGTTCCCTAATATTTGTGATAAAATTTAGATGTAAATCAAATTATGATATAGAGATGATATATATCGAGTAAAAAAAAAAAAAAAACAAACCTTATCCTCTGTACATCCCATCGCTTTCTCCTCCTCTCATCATTCTCCAATTTCAAATGTCTCTTGTTAAAAATCTCATCGTCCAAATTCTCAGTTCCCTCCATCGTATAACAACTCGTATATACCTTCACTCTCCAATTAGGGACTTCGAGAGAACTACCTGTTTCTACCGGATTGGACTGTTTCAGACTTAAGGTATAATTGGGATCCCCTACAGCTGTATAATAATGTTCTTCCGTCGTGAGAAAGGATTCTTTCTTCACGAGAGATTTAGCTTTCTTATCGCTCTTCCTACTAGTCTCGTGTAAAGTTTGACTCAACACCTTGTCCTGTACACTTTCGGTACTAACAATCGATGAGCAGGAGATGCCCCTTTTTTCTTACTACCCATAGACACTGGGGTAGGATCCGATCGTCTCTTCTTCTTCTCCTCCCACTCGTACCTAGACTCAATAGGCTCCTGCTTCACTTCCACCTTAATTTGATTATCAAGTGGTTCCTGTTTCACAGTGGTGATACCGCCGCTGGTGTTGAGACGTATCTTGAAGGTCTCGTGCAAAGTATTGCCACCCTCGCACTGAACGTTTCTGTGCAACTCGCTCGTCGACGGTACGTTTACGGAATTGACACTCGTAGGCGAACAAGTACCCAAGTGTTCCGAACCGGTCGAATTCTCGCTGCATTCAGATCTCAGCTTCTGAAGGCTCACCCGCCTCTCCATACGTTCCAGACGTAGTTTTAACTGCAACAAACAACCGTAACATCATACACTTGAAACTACACACATATATATATATATATATATATATATATATACACAACATATATATATATACAAATTAATGAAACGCTATTTACACTCCTCGTGTACCGTGTGTACACGATTTTCCTTTCCTCGCAAATCATGTCTAAGTCGCCCTGCGTGAACTTGGGGAAGAAAATCGTCCCGAACTCGTTTACTCTCTCACCCTTGCGACGAGGCTCGGACAGGTTAGCTCGACGGACCCGCGCTTCGACATTCGCACCATCAATGAAACGGCGAGGCACCAGGCCCTACCTACCCACCCGGTTTCGTTGACGGCGAAGGGAGAGCGATCTACACGTTCGGTGTTCGCGCGCGCTGTCAACTACATCATCGCGAGACGCGGAATTGCGTGTCTCTCCCCGGTCTAACTGTCATTTTCAAACATGTCGAGCACTGGGAACGTCGTTGTTCGCGAACGAAACGTCTCTCCTTCTCCCTCCCTCTTTCGCCGTAAAATGCGGAAGTAGCGCCACCACGTGTTGACACCGCGCAGTTGACCTTCACGGTCAACCTGTTCCCCGCGGGCGCCCCATGTTTAGGTTAGGAAGACCCGGGAGAGGGAGGGTTGACACTCGCGAGCAAGTGTGCGCGGCATTTTTTTACAAAATGGAGGCGAAAAAAGGGGGGGAGGGGGCGGCTCGGTTTTTCTCACGTCAAAGGGCGGCGCGGCTTCCCGAACGCGATCGATATCGGCAACGACGACGACGACGACGACCGCGAAGACGAACCGAGAATAGGCCAACGGAGACTCGATCTCGCGTGTGACGTTTCGACCCGCAAACCTTCTCTCTCTTGGTTCCGCGAGATCCCGCGAAATCGCGACCGAGGGCGTCGAATGGCGCGAGTTTGGAGTCTCCGAGAAAGTGCGGACCTTCGACGGTATTTTAGCTTGGGATCGAGTGACACGAGCGTGTGATGTGCACTTTAAAAAGATTGTCAACATTCCTGGAATTTCTCGCATAATTGAGAATTTAATCGTCTATCTATTTATGCCTCGAGACATTTTTATTATAATATATATGCAAATATATATATATAATCTCTATATATAAAGTAAAATATAAATATAAATATATATATATATAATAGAAAATATATTAATTTGATTTTTATAAATGAAAATTGGCGCGAAATAAAATGATGCGGACGAAGAAAAGAATTTTCCAAACTGGAGCAAGTCTTAATTCAACCTCTTGCGTGTTTAAGGTCCCTTTAAAGTGCACATTACCACGATGAAAATCGGACAACGAATGGGATTGGAGGATCGGGTTTTAAAATTGAAAAAAAATCGCACACTGCCATTCACTGCATTACAGTAACTTTGATTAAAGCGACAATCGCACGGGATTTTTTCGCACTTAGTAATTGAGCATCCACGCTACCTGTCAATTTTGCAAATTACGATAACAAGCGAGAACATTATCAAGAGACAAGTTTAAAGGAATTGACGTAATTACAGTTTCATTCTCTACAGATATAAACATATCACAGCTTCGAACATCTTCTCTACCATCAAACGTCATCACAGATGCCATGTGACCGAAAATAATGCAGCAAAAAAAAAAAAAAAAAAAGAAAATCGAATGAAAACACACCTACGCCTATAATACAAAGTGTCACTTTTTCAAGCCATTCCTCGCGATGAAAAATTAATATTCACTATCTTTTCACGCATCTCTCTCTCTCTCTCGAGAAGGAAAAAGGCGGGAAGCAACACACAACGCACTAAAAAAAAAAAAAAAAAAAAAAAATGAAAAACATCCTCGTCACGTGCTATGTATACCGTCTCGTTTTCCTGGCGCAGCGCGGCGAGGAGCTTGTCCTTGGTGACGATCTGCTCGGACTGCTGCTGGATGAGGTCCAGGTGCAGAAGGAGCAGCTCCTTCAGGTGCTTGACCTCGGTGAGGTCGTTCTGACGAGGCTCGTTGCCGCGGAGAGGACTGACGCCGAGGGCGGCTGCCGCGGCCGGTGCTCCGCCGTCTGTCATGCTGGCGTACATGTGATCGAAGTCGCAGGGGAAGCTGAGGATGCCGGCGGCGGCGGCCGCGGCGCTGCCGCTGTTTATGACGGGTTTGACGTCCACGTCGCTGTCCACCTCCTGGTGGAACTCCTGGACGACGCGGCCGTTGTTGCCGACAACGTTGCTCATCGTCATCGTCGAGGGATGGTTGTTGTTGTTGTTGTTGCCGCTGGCGAGGGTGTTCATAGCCGACGACGCCGAGGAGGACGACGACGTCGTCGTCGTCGTCGCGCTGGACAGGTGCTCGTTCATCGCCGCGACCATGTTGTCCTCGTCGTCTTCGTCGTCGACGTCGTCGGCGTCAACAATAACGACGGTGTTTGTGGCGCTGTTGTTGCTGACACTGACTCGAGCGTCGGTGCTACCGGCGTGAAACAACGACGACGGCGTCGTCGTCGTCGTCTCGGCACTACTGTTCAACGCGAATCCCACGCGGTTCGTCGTCTCGGCGACGACGACGTCATCACCGGTGGACAAGGAAGCGTCGGCGACGACGTAGGTGTAGCAACGGTAAACGGCGTCGAGAGTACGCGATCCTGCGATCGCCCCGCGACTGGAATTCGCTGGCGTCGCGCCGTCGATAACAGCGGTCGCGACGACTCCGCCACCACCAGGTCTGGCGGCCTCGTTAGCAACGCCAGCGCTACCGCCGCGACTCCTGGATGAAGCGAGGAGCGGCGCGCTTCCACCAGCGGCGTCGCCCACGCGGTTCTCCTCGCAGCCGAGCCTCCCCCTTCCTCCACCTCCACCACCCCTGCCGCCGCTGACAGCGCCGGTGACGGCGACGGCGGCGGCAGCGTCGACGCTCTTCTTCTCACCGTTCACGAGTCGCTCCGATGACGGCGAGCTGACGTTTGACATCTTCCTGCCGCGGACGCGGCGATGACGTCGCCGTCGCCGCGGCGGCTACCATTTGCGACCGCCACGAGGATACCGCGCGCCCGCCCCGCGCACATTAATCGTCCCCGCGTACGGTGCGATGCTACGAGCGCGGACCCCGCCGTCGTCGTCGATCACCTTCCTCGAGCGGCGCGAATATTCCTTCCCGTCACCGTCCGACGCGCGGATTTCTCACCTCTTTCCTTTCTTCGCGCGTGCCACGAAAAATGTTGTTCGCGACGTTCTTTACGGATCGCGGGACCGAGCGCGAGAGTGCCAGCGCGAGCACGCACGAGGTGTGCGAGCGCGGCGCCTCCGCTTCGTGTTTACTCCAATAAGCGACGCGCCGCGCGCTTCCGACTTTCCCGCCAGAGGCCGCCATCTACTTGACATATCGTTTCGATTTGGATTTTATATAGGAAAACGTGTATATATTTTTATTATGAAATAAAAGATATATTTATATAACATTTATCACAAATATTGAGATAATAAATTTGCTCTACTTGTAATCTCTTTTTAGAAAATAAATGTGTGTGAGAGATCAAATTCTTTTCCAATTATTTATATATGTAGTTTGGATTATTTGTATTAAAAAATTTAAATAATTAAATATGTAGACACTTTATGTAAAATAATTAATAATGTACAAAAGAGAGAGAAAGAGAACTCTTTTTCATTTATATATGTAAAATTTGGATTAAAATTAATGTTTAATTTAATAAAATACATACTTTATATAAAATAAATATGTGTATAAAAGAGAGAAAGAGAACTCTTTTCCATTTATTGGTATGTAATTTGAATTAAAATAATAGATAATAAAATATAAACATTTTATAAATATAATAAATGTGCAAGAGAGAAAGAGAGAGAACTTTTTCTACTGTCAGTTTGTCAATCGCTCTATCATTAGTTTTCTTTACGCTGAGAAATGTGTGGAAATTAATCTACCAAAAAATAAATGAAATTTTTATCCAATTCTATTCGATTTCTATCTTCTAAGCTATTCATCAGCATTAATGCATTTGCAAGTTAAGTTAATAATAAATGGAGATTGTTAAAAAACTAGATAAGAAATATATCTCATATTTTATAAAATTAAATATTTAGTATTTTTAGATATGCCTAGCTAGTATCGAGTATGCAGAATTATATCGTTTTGTTCTTGATATTCCAATCTTTTTATTTAGACGATATTATCGGCATCATATAAACTGTAACGCATTGTAAACATTTTTGTAACACTTAGTGATACATACGCAAATAGATTAATAAAGATACTCTCTTAATTTTGATTAATTACATAGCGTGAATATCTTTTCACGTACAAATAATAGATTACAGAGTACAGCATTACTTTTTTTTGATACAGATACCGGAAACACTCTCTCTTTCTATAAGAATTGATAGATTTATTTATAAAAGAATCGTCTAAAACTAAATACTAATAACTGCATTGCAAAAACTTATATGATAATTAGCAATCAATTAACTAATCAACTAACTAAAGATAAACGAGAAGTTTGTATTATTTACAGTTTTGCGACAAGCAAATCGTTCGATTAATACACTTCAAATACACAGTATTCGTCTCTAAAAAGACTGCTAGATAACGTACATATAATAAACATCAGATTTAGAAATTTTACTTCTTTAACATAAAATATATCCCAAATAAGGCGAATAAAAGATTGATTTTTTTTGGAACGCATTATTATAGGTAAACTTAGCTTCTTTTTTCGTTTTACAAAAAATCCGACATTATGTTAAAACTAAATCAGTTATTATATAAATGAGTATTCTTTTAGATGTTGGACATAGCGTAAAAGTATAAAACACATTTAATACACTATATCCATCTGCAATTTATGAGATAACGATCAGTTCCTGAGTTGTGTTTAGTATATGTATCGTATCGCATTTTTTCCTTTTTATATATATATATATATATATATATATATATATATTTTTTTTTTCTTTATATATATATATATATATATATATGTACCATTAAAATTAATCTAAATATTTTAAAAATATATATATTTATATGATAACATTGATATATCCTTCTTAAACGTTAATCAACACTACGTGCATATACATAAATATAACATTATTTTCCCTATGCTATACAATACTAGTCTTTATATTCCTGTATTTACAATTGTATCTTAACACATTCTTCTCGTTCTCATTCGAATAAAACTTGCGCTTCGGGTTCACGTAGTAAAATATTTTCCAAATTTATGTTGTAAATGATTTTCTAAAAAAAGCAGTTAATATACACACTTTGCTTACGAATAAAATCTAATCACATTGTACGATGAAACACGCGACAAAACTTTCTTGTATAATATAAATTTATTTATTCGCGTTACATCTGCAAGGATGCAAAAACACAAATGCATTTATATTTATGAAATTATATTTTGTCATATCGTTCCATTGTTGCATAATGTATATCGACGTTATATAATTCCTTTTTTTCAATGATTATTTAAATTTCTTCTATAGTAACACGATGCAATTATATCGATAATAGGAACACAAGCTTTTTTTTTCACGCGCTATTATAAAACCGTTATTTCATAAAAATATTCCAATTGTACTCGTTATTGTGATATTTTTGAAACATGATATACTACCTCGTGCTATTTCCTGTATAAAAAAATCGTCTAGCAAAGCGATACAAATCTGTCGATGTAAAATGAATCGGACGTTTTCAAAAATAAAAGTAAAAGTCAGCACAAAAGATTCTTCCAACGTTACACTTGATCTAGAGGTCTTTTCATGACTAGAGTTGTGTCGTGACTTTGTATGTTATATCGTTGTTTCTGATGTGAGAAACAAATCGATGGTCGAAAAGACTTGATGAAAGAATCGTGTTCTTTATACTGTGCCATTTCGATTATTTGCTATTTTTGCGACAACTTTTTCTCGCTGTATGGATGCAACATATATATATATATATATATATACACGTATATAGGAACTAAGATTATGAACTTATAAACCAGGCGCGCTTATAAAAGGACTCGCGACGACCCGTCGTTGCCCTTGAGATATTTTCAGTCCAAGCTCTTGTACAATATAGTTCCCGAATCAAACAACTAAGAATAAAAGGAGATAAATAATTAAATAGTAAAAAAAAGTTAAAATTTTCGGATTTCTCTCAATAATTGGCACTATTACACGGATAATGTTACGTCAGATACATCGTAACAAGCATTCAAATTCTGCGTACGATAAATGTTCAACGTCGAATATGAATCCAGTACAGAACTTTTATATAGCGCGTTGGACAGAGTGTTGGAAGCGCTTTTGATAGACCGTAAGTAGAGTAAACTGTGTGCCACTTTCGCCGAGTCGCTGAGTTCCTCGATAGAGATAGAGAAAGAGAACGCACTCGCTGTTCAGATTTCGTGTCGATACAGATTTCTGTCAGAAACCATCTTTTTTTTTACTTCATTTCCTTCATTGATACGATATTTGCCTAAACATGCTGCTAATCTCCTCCATGGTCTTATTCTTCGTCTCTGGCACCTTCTTGTATATGAAGAGTGTGAAGAACAATTGCAGTATAGCAAAGATGATAAACACGTAAGCGCCTAACGCTTCTTGCAGCGGCAGGAAGCCGATACTGACGATGAAGTTTGCGGTCCAGTTTACGGCGATGGCAATGGAGGTGGCTGGTGGACGAGCGGATTGACTGAACAACTCGGACACCAAGAACCACGGGATGCTTCCTGGTCCAGTTGCAAACAAGACGACGAACATGATGACGAGCACGATTGAGAAGTATGCTGCCGCTCGCGACGTATCCTAAAAAACGGAGGCGCGAAAATAAATTTGATTGCAATTTTAATTTTCTCTTTCACACACATATCATCTATTTTCCGTGATTTCAATCAGAGAATACAAAGAGTCTGTTCTTTTCAGCTGAAATGACTGTATTAGTTCGAGTTTATCTCTTTCCTTCCAATGTAAAGGAATAAAAAAGATAAATTCTGAACTGGTGCAGTTCAGCTGAAAAAATCAAATTTAAAGATACTTACAGCGAATACGAGACAAATGGCAAGCAGAGCAGTGTCCAGGAACATGCCGCCGAATCCAACCAGGAGCAACGTTTTCCTGCCTGCCTTCTCTACCAACACTAAAGAGATGATGGTCATCAAGACATTCATCGCGCCGACTCCCATGGTCGCGTTCTGCGCGGCAGTCTTATCCAGCTGTGCCATCGTGAAAATTTTCGTCGAAAAGAACATGACGGCATTGATGCCGGATAACTGTTGAGCAAACATAATCATAACGGAAATGAAGAGCGGAATGCGGAGCGCCGGATTGACGAACAGCTCGCGCACGGTGACCTTCGGTATCAGCTTCACGGACTCGTACTCTGTACGCATTTCGTCCATCTCTTCGTGAACCTCGAGCGTGCCACGTAGCCAGGCCAGTGCTGGGGAAAGAAAAAATCTTTATAAGGAAGAGCAAGAACAAAGCTGTCTGTCTTATTCGTCTAGATCCTCTACGTTCTTATATACTATTCGCAATCTTTTATTCATGATCATTTACCTCTTTGCGCGTCCGTGTCCTTGCCGCGGGTGAGTAACAAATACTTGGGGCTTTCGGGACAAAGCGGTAGGGTGCAAATCTGGAAGAATGCCGGCACGATTGTCAGACACAGCAGCAACGGCCACTGATCGTTGGTACCGAGGACCTGTTCCAGGCCCAGTATCTGCGACACTAGGATCGAGATGGTGATGACCAGCTGGTAGACCGTTCCCACGGCTCCGCGAAGATGAACGGGTGAGATCTCGGCCAGATACATCGGCGCCAGACCCGCGTTCAGGCCGGAGTTGATACCGATGAGGAATCTGCCGACGATGATCATCTCGTAGCTCCTCGCCGTCTTGGCGAATCCCTCGAAGATGACGGTGAGCACTACCAGGATGTTGTTCAGGAGCAAACCGCCCTTCCTGCCGAAGCGATCCGCCACCCAGCCTACCAGGGAACCCCCGATCATCCCGCCGACGCAGAAGATCGATACCGCCACCGACCAGATCATCGTCACTTCCGACTGGCTCGTAGGCACGCCCGTGCGGTTCATCTTCAGCTGGCTGATCCAGTCCTCGATGAGCTGGATATAAGAACACGGCAGTATATTAAATTTTGCGCGCGTCATCATTTCATTCCTTATTCCCGCTATATTTCGTTTACCTTCTGCGTACACAGGTTCATAAATATTTTATTGTTATATTACTTTACGACGTGACTTTGACATAATAATAATAATCAATATATCGTAATCCTGTCGCTGTATTAGGAAATAAGCAAGTGTAACGGAGAGTGTCGGATGACTCTTTAATATATGTTGCAAATAAAATCGACGTGAAGCCAGAGATCGCAGAAGGTTGTCTTACGCATAATTAAGTCGATGCGAAAATTCATTTGTCATACCTGTTGAGGCGCGTTAACCACACCGGTGTTGTACCCATGTTGGAACGATGAGCCGAGAGCGGCTGCAGCGATAGCGAACGCTAATCGTCCGTTGAGACCCTGCGACAAAAAACGATATCGCTGCTTTAAAATTGTGATACGAGGATTTATCGAATACAAAAGAGTATCGAAAAAGGCACTTTGATATTTCAGAAATGCGCAAACATTTATTTATACGCACATTTAAATATAAAAAAGAACCTATATAGACATATAATATTTTATTTATTTATATTTATATATTTTATAATTATATATTTATTATTTATATTATATATTTAATATATATATATATAAAGTATATATATATATATATACAAAATATACATTTTATATAATATATATAAATATATGATGTAAGATACATATATATATATATATATATATATATATATATATATATATATATAACATAAAATAACGTTAATTAAACAAATCATATATAGTAGGCCAACTGAACGAGCAAATAAATAAGGTGTAAAAATTTATTAATAGTTAAATATTAAATTAACATTCCGTTACAGAATCGATATAAATTGTAAACGTTTCGACTGCACTACAGTCTTTATCAATACATAAAAGTTAAATATTAAATACAAGTTAAATGTTAAAAATACAAAGTTAGTTAAATATTAAAATATAAATTGAAACGATTCTTCGCTGTTGACCAATAGATATGCAAGGCGATTGGTCTGAGATGCCAAGTTATGCGACATTTGAGCATGATTATCGTTTTAACAAGTCCTTTTCCCCGATATTTCAAGTGTGAAAAATGCCCTATTGATAGCGATCCTGTGAATAATTATTCCAATTATGTATGACATTGTTGCATCTTTCTTGAAATGCAAATGTCGATAATGCGCCGATGAAACGTGCAAGATCTTAATGAAGTGATGAATATGCAACGCGCAAATGTAATAGGATACATTTTGCTCGACATCGAGAGTCACGAATTGGAAGAAATTAGCATCTGTCGAACCCTGAAAGAGATTTCGTTCCGGAAATTCTATCACAATCGTTCCGTACAATTATCCTGTATTTCTTGATCGCCTTTTAAAGTAATATATCATTTTTTTCTGAGGTATCCGAAAATCGAATTTTTTTTCTTCTTCCTTCGAAATAGAATTTACAAGAAACATGTAAAGGATGCATACCGCTCTCCTAAAGTATGGCACTTCGAAATCGGTCGATTTTACTGTCATTTTTCTGCAAAATAAGCCTTCTCCCGCGACGTGCGAACACACTTCACTTTCACGGTTCGAGGAAAAAAATCGCGAGAAAAATCGTTTGTCCCCGACGACGACTTCGGGTGTCGTTCTCCAGTGCCTCGGAACACGTGCCAAAGACTGCTGGGTCGGTACCCCCGTTGTACGCTCTTATACTAGGAGACCTCCGACGCACACACGCGCCCGCGAGCACGTGTGCACACATACCCGGAAGATGCACGTAAATGTAAATGCGCGTATGTGTGCGTATATGTATTTAATACGGCGCTACAGAGAGGCTGCAATTTTTTTTTTTTTTTCTGCTGGATGTACGTATGTATACATAACGCGACACGTACACACGCACACACATGTGCCACTTCCATGGAGAACTGATACTTCGTTCAAGTTACGCGCGGGGACTTTGTGTGCCGAGCAAGCAATGGCGTAAGTAGCCGATAGAAGGATTTTGCTTATGCAAATCCACTTGTGACATTCAACCGTCAGGTGATACTAGAAGTTTCGTCGAGAGAAGAGGGATCGGTCTGTAATAATTCTCGAATTATTCATCACGTTATTAATCTGAATCAATCTTCGAAGTGCGCGTAGCGATCAGCTGTTTTATGTCATTGATTATTGACGTCGAGGAAAGGCGCGCTTATCTCGCCAATTTGTGTCTGGAATTAACAAGTAGATCCATTCTTATGCAAAAAGAAAAAAAGAAGGAAATGTCATGCCGATAAACGTAGAAATTTTGCAGGGTCACAATGGAATCGGCGGGAATAGCAAATGAAGCGCATCATCATCATAATGCTCGCGAAGCGTGTGTTTACATACACATAGGATTGCTCGCATAAATATTTATCGGTGCATTTTTCGACAATATCTCTCCTTTGACGTCGGCAGAGGCCCGATAGCCGAGTGCACTTCGTACACCCGGATATAATATCGCAATAATCCATCGACGTATCCGTTCTTAACGTTAAAGTTTATTATCCACTTGTACTATGCACTGCTGCGATATACAAGGTGTTTCTAAAATTATGCCAGAGATTTTAAGGGTATTCTAGGGCTCGAAATCGGAAAAAGTTCCTATAAAATATGATATATATGTATATTAATAATATATACAAAAATATAATATATATAAAATGTAAAAATGTATCACATATATAGGATAACGTTTTTTCATAAATAATGTACCCCTTCATATCTCCTTCTCAAAATCGGATAAAATTGCATGTCAAAACCACATAAAAATGAAGTTCATTATTAATTACTACGCTGTGCAAAATTTCTGTAAAAATCTTCGAGAATTATAATACATTTTTTCGACTTTTTTTCCCAACTTTAGCGGGTTATAACTCGGAGAAAAAGCATTTTTGGATCCATGTTTAGAGGAACATTTTTTCTTATTTTGACCTGTAGAATACGCTCTTAAAGTCTCTAACGAAGTTTTAGAAACACCCTGTATAATAATAATTCGCGAGAAGTTGTACTCGTTGGTCGATCGGTCATCTCGCGAACTTTAGACTGTTCTTCAAAAGATTAAAGAAAAAAATAAAGAAATATATAAATATATCATTATTGACAATCTCTCTCTATCTCTGTATTCGCTCTTTAAGTCGCCTTTATTCCTCTCCTTCCCCTCATTTACCCCTGAAAGATCTCCGAGAATACGTTGTTGTTTAGCTATAAATGAGGAAATTTATTTTGTAAAATAAAGTAAATAGTGCATTTGCGCAACCTATAGCTCTCAATTTTATCTTCCCTAGCCTTTTTCGACCCTCGTCTTTGCGTAACATAATTTGATTCTTGCAAAATTTTGCATAAGCGCAACATCAGATTTCTCATGCTCTCTCACGAGTTCGTGAGGAATATTTAATTCACCCTCACGTGCTACACATTTGCAATGTAATGATTATTGAATTTCGCGATGGACGCAGGTAACGTCTCTGTGCAACGTTGTAAAAAAAAGTAATATTCGCACGTATTATCTCGTGCTTTTTATGCGCCGGTGCAAATGAGAAATCTAAAGTTTGCGCAACGTCTCCGAGTCTCGTGATGCACCGCCGGTCATTTCGGGCTTCTTCCGCAAATAAAAAAAAAAAAAAAACGCTTTGTCGCAAAACGATTCGTCCATTAAGAGTTGTTGAACTACGCAAAATCAGCTGTATAAATTACGACATGCCTCTCTTTCATTGACCAATTCGAAACGATGTATTATATCGAGTGACACGACAGAATCTTAGAGTATTAATAATAATGAGGAATAATACAATACATTCGAAACGACTTTATGAAAATGCAAAAAAGAAATACAGAAAAAAGAAGTGTTACGTAAAGAGGCATTTATAATTGCGAATCTCGATAATTCGCGTTGCTTGACATCCATTATTAATGACAAAAGTGCGGTTCTACGTTCTCGATCAAAATTGCGCATGAAATATAGATCGCTGTGTTAAAATGCAGTCTCATTCATAGTAAAAAGACCAATTAAATTAAAATTATAGCAATCCTTATCTATGTTAATACCCCCTGCAATATCTATATAATTTGCCTGAAATTAAGAACGAACTGCATTTTAAAAAAATATGACCAAATAAGAAACCAAAAATGTTGAATATATTTCTTTAAATATTTCTTTATATTTTGATATATTTTTTATATCTTAAATTCATAAAAAAGAAAAAAATATTTAACAATTGACGAGAAAATCTGTAAAGCAAAGAGAATATATGTATATAGAAAGATAAAAAGAAAATTCTTATCGATCCAATTGATTTTAATTCATGTAATTTTTTATTAAGACGAAGTAAAGGTCAGGTGCTCGTATTAATAATTATTGTTAAGCAAGCTAAAAGTATAAATAGCAGTCACGTTTCTGTCTATGTTTCCGCAGTAATATTCGTTAACTATAGCGAATTATATCACGAACTTGAACAAAAGAAAAAGTCGCGCTTACTCGTGGGGAATTACAAAAATATTTATGACGCATAAAAATATGGAGAAAGTATAGAAGAGGCTTATCGTTCATGATTACTCATGGACTTAAGAGATACGGTAATAAAAACCGATTTAATTAATTGGATCTAAATGGGTGGCCGAATAGATGACGTAATATTTGTTCTTCCTTTCACGGGTTTCCCGAATGCTATCTTAATGCTGCAGTTATTAACGTTGAAAATTGAAAGACTGCTACCCGCATATGTTTCGTTTAAGATTGCTGGGTTTCAATCAAGGTACAATTCCCAGAGGCAATTGGGCGAAGCCTTCTTGTATTACTGGAAAATTGAGCGATATTGATCGCACGCAAGGCACGGATAAAGTGATTTAGCTCACGGTCGACGAATGCAGAATCCTTGAAAACGACACAAATTCACCTTATCTTCCGCTGTCTTTTGCTTATCTCAGACGTCTTCTGCATTCGAGATTTATCTTATGAAATTAGTACATTTTATCTATGCGAAGAAAGTCCCGTCAATTAAATTGTCCTTATTTATAGAGTGTTGTATACGCGAATCTCAATTCTCTCTCTTTTACTGTAAAATTTCATGAGAATTTTCCGTTCTAATACGATTGAATGACGTCCTCGCAAGAAAATAAGCGAATTAAAATAGATTGACAGGAATCTATTTTGCGAAATTGAAATTTTAATCGGGTCTAGAAAAATTGCTTTCAAAGTCTTGGATCTTCTCGCGATGAAGTAAGAATTTTGAAAAAGAAGTTTCATAAAAAAGGCGCAATTTCTCCAAGATTCTTCGAGATTATAAATCCCCTACGGATCCAATCCATATCTTAAGAATATTTTCTAACTTATGCGATAAATTTCATAAAATTATTTCTCTTTTTCCT